TCAAAATTACTGAGACATTGAGACATTTTTCACAAAGGATGCTTAAATACGGGCTTTTTCTCCACTTGCATTATTGCTGGTAGCTAGGATAGTGTTCTGTGTTCAATGATGAATGACACAGCATTATCCTTATTATTTCTTTGATTGTTTTTTATTGGGTTGTGTAATTTGTATCAAGTGAAACAAACCTGCCCTTTGTTATGGTTCCTATCTAATGATTGAACAAATAAACTGATCTTTATTCTGCACTCTTGAATGAATACTGACTGGACTATGCTCCAGGACATGTTCAGACCTGTAGAGGAAACAAATTAATACCAACAGGCAATGCCAGGCACAGCAATGAACACTTAACAGTTTATGATATCACTTCCAAATTGTCCTTTTAAAAAAAAATCCAACTGAAGCTGTTATTTGAAAATAAAGGTGTTGCTTATTTGATAAGAATCATAGGATTACATCTGAGTTAATTAAAAACACTTTACTCCTAAATTTTAATGGAATTCAAAGGAATTATACAAAGAAAAACATGGGGGTAGGTTGACTTATTTTATTTTCATAATTCCACCAATATATCAGGTGCTATTCAAGCAACTAGGTGGAGAAGGTCTTTGCCATCACAAGTTTACAATCCAAATAAGCTATATGGGAAAAAACATGGAAAGACATATGCTTTGTGTAATCACGTTGTACATCTGTCTACAGTACCTTTTCTCATGAGATTTCCAAAAAGGGAAGGGAACTCGTTTTTTCTGTCACTTTTGTAGTCAAATGTTAGGAACATGTCCTTCCTCAACTGACAAGTATTGTTAGCTGTCTCATAATTTAAAAGACTGAATTTATCCTATAGCAAGCTCAACAAACAGTTTAATATTTTTCTTAGACTGGTAAGTTTGAGAGCAATCTATTTTTTTCCTACTGGAGAATTTACTATTTAAACCTTCTGTGTCTTATATTTACATTAAGTGCAATTTGATCAGCCTTAGTAGGGCTTCTCTGAATGCATTAAGTAATCTTCCTTCCTTTTTTCTCTCCAAAATAAGGGCAATTTTAGTTATCTGTAATACCCATTCATGGCTTGGCAGAGAATGAACCCTACTCATTTCAGGCTTCTGGAAGAAATTTGAGAATTCCCCCAGGAAAGAATGCATGCGTAACATCTCTAGAAACCTGCCTTTTTGTTTGCATTGGAAAAACAAGCTTTCATCTTCACTCTAATGATTTAGATTTATAGGTCGTGCAGAAGGGAGATGGACGGTAACTTTGAATTTAACAAGTAAATTGGTTAGAAATACCATCTGGAGGTTCTCTTTTGATATTGACTACATCATATTGTACAGGTATTGTATCTTCCAGCCTTCTGTGAATTTTCTATGTGACTGAACTATTCTGCACTCGAATGGCACAAATGCATCCAGTCCTTTGACTCGATCTTTTAAAATATTTGTATTGCTACAAAAAGTGTAAGTTTAAAATACAGTATTGAATTTAAACTAAAGTTTATACTGCAGCATAGAGGAGTATTTGAGCCACATCTCACTCCCCATTCTAGTGTCTGAATGCCACACATTTGTGTATCTAACGCTTAGCAGACCCTGTGAAGTGAAAGTAAATGTCACACCTATTTTGCAGAGGGATTCAGTATCACAGTGTAAATCCATGAGAGCACTCAGAGCAGAATCTCCATCTCTATCTCTAGTCTGCTGCCTTAACTACTAGACTTTTCTTCTGTATTTTCCAATGTACAGTGTGTGACATTAGAAGGAATCTAACAAACCCCGTTGCCAGCTTTGTCTACATATTCACTCTGCTGATACCATTATTGGACCTAACCAAGTGAGTTATAAGATCAAGAACACATATTCCTGTGCATCCAGAAATATAATTTATGCTATCATGTGCCGAAAGTGTCCGTCTGCTATGTACATTGGACAGATGTCTCAGACACTTCAACAAAGGGTCAATGCTCACAAAACAGATATTAGACAGGATCACAAAAAAATTAAAACGTTTCTTGCCATTTCAACCAGAAAGAACATTGTCTCAATGACTTGATTACCTGCATCCTGCTTCAAAGACCTTTTCACACCACATTTGAAAGAGAATCCTCTGAACTGTCATTCATGCTTAAATTCAACACTTTACACTTAGGTTTAAACAAAGATATTATCTTACCCATTATGAAGTTATTCCTATCTGTCAGGGTGGTCAAATATTGGAATAAATTGCCAAGGGAGGTGGTGGAATCTCCCTCTCTGGAGATATTTAAGAACAGGTTAGATAGACATCTGTCAGGGATGGTGTAGACGGAGCGTGGTCCTGCCTTGAGGGCGGGGGGCTGGACTCGATGACCTCTTGAGGTCCCTTCCAGTCCTATTATTCTATGATTCTATGAAGATAGCTTCCCCAATTATCACCTTTAATATCATTAGCTCACAGACATTTACCTCCCCCGCCCATCCCCGTTCTGTTCTGAAATTTGATTTGTCCTTTTCATATGTGTTCTTTTTTAAAAAAATTTATCCTTTGGTATATATGGTTGTGACAATTTTCTTCCACTATTTGATCTGAGGAAGTGGGTCTGGCCCATGAAAGCTCATCACCTAATAAACCATCTTGTTAGTCTTTAAAGTGCTACATAGTCCTGTTTTTTATTCCAGCTACACCAGACTAACTGGCTACATTTCTATCACTAAATAGCAAGTAGCACTGAATTGGGCAGGACACGAGAAGCCAGGTAAAACCATGGAGAGATACATAAATACACCTCCTGGTCTTTTTCTTGTTTGGAACTGAGGGAAATGTGTACAGCAGTTTGTTCACATGTGTTGTGAATTTATTCATATTTGCATAAGGAGATACGAGGTTTGCTATTACTTTCCTTAAATTATGGATTTTTTTGTTTTTATTTTTATCTTAATGCCATATGAATCAAATACAGCCAGTCCCCGAGTTATGAACGTGTTACAGACCAAACATTTGGCCGTAACTCGGAATAGTCGTAACTCGGAACCCGCATTTACGACCGCTTTGGTCGCTAAGTGCGGATGGTTGTTAAGTTGAGGTGGTCCTAAGTTGGGGACTGGCTATATCTCCCAAATAAACACTCTGGTCCTCATCTCTCACCCAGTCATCCATGCCATCATCCTGATAGTAGAAGCTGCTTCTGCTAAATCATTGCATCTTCCAGTGTCTAAGTTCTGCCACCTTCTTGGATGACACACTCACTGCTTTCTGAACTGCACTTGCCAAGTCCAGGTCTCTGTCAAATAGCTTTTCTGCTACTGAACCGGCAATGGGAAGTCTGCTGGCAAAAGCAAGTCAGGTTTAGTATTTCAAGGCTAGACATACTGACTGTAAAATAAGATAGAATCTCTCTGCCATCATAGGGTATGAAATGAGAATAAACTAGAGTCAACTTTCACTTATTTTGGAGGACAATATGGGGAAAATCATCATGTTGGCCACATTCACTCATTTTGGCTTGTTCTAAATCCCGTAGGAATTCTACCTCTTATTCCTTTTTTCCCAGTGAATAAAATATGACAAACTAGATGTGATATTACAGAATGTGTTTATTGTACATGATGTAGTTGAAATATATAGCTCACTCATACAAAGTCTGAGCTATGTTACATGTGATGATGACAGAAAAGTGTTCAGATGAGGAGCATGATATAAGGATCTCAACAGCACTGGCTACAACAGAGTTCCAGAACAGAATAGAGACCTAGATATAATATTGATTCTAAAGAAAAGAGCTAATTAAGCTTCTTTTTAAAAAAAGTTTCTGACTATAGTAACACCTATGCTATGGCTTCATTCTGTAGCCACTTGGCACATGGAACTCACTTTTGAGGCAATAGGAATTCTGTACGAAAAGAACTTCAGCATCAGCTCTGTTATAGGAGGAGATGGTAACAACACCCTTTAGTTAAGGTTACTTAATACAGGCAGTCCCCGGGTTACGTACAAGATAAGAACAAACCTACAGTCCTTAAGTTGAATCTGTATGTAAGTCGGAACTGGCATCCAGATTCAACCACTGCTGAAACTGACCAGCGGCTGACTACAGGAAGCCCGAGGCAGAGTTGCTCTGCCCTGGGCTTCCTGGAATCAGCCGCTGATCAGTTTCAACAGGATGAATCTGGACGCCAGTTCTTACATACAGATTCAACTTAAGAACCCCAGGCATCCCCAAGTCAGCTGCTGCTGAAACTGATCAGCGGCTGATTCCAGGAACCCCGGGGCAGAGCAACTCTGCCTCAGGCTTCCTGTAGTCAGCGCTGGTCAGTTTCAGCAGTGGCTGAATCAGGACGCCTGGGGCAGAGCAGCTGAGATGCTGCCTGGTTGGTCCAGTAGTGCCCAGAGCGGCGCTACGGGACCAACCGGCAGCGCCCCAGCTGCTGTACCAC